AGAGAGAGAGAGAGAGAGAGAGAGAGAGAGAGAGAGAGAGAGAGAGAGAGAGAGAGACAGTGTGTGAGAGAGAGAGAGATTAATATAGTATGTCCTTTCAGGTTTTTAGGCCTTCTGGCACCAGAATATGATGCAACATTAAAGTTATTAAATTAGTTTGAATTTATGATCTTGGAATCACTTGGAAAAAAATTTTCAAGCTCGTTTAAATTAAATAATTTGTTTTCATTTAAACCTTGTGCATTTTTTATCAGAAGAGTCAGAGGTATTCTGTGTTGTTTTGTGAGTCAGAMGCTGAAGAATTKGAAAGCCACAATAAAACCAACACAAACGTAAACACTGCTCCAGAGTCCGTTTTGATTTTACAAGTTGTGCTAAATKAGTGGTTCACCCACTTCAGCCTCTGTAAAGGACTCCAGGAGCCGCAGGGGTCCAGTGCTGCCACCCATGCGCGCCGCGCAGAAGTGCGCCTGGACGACGCGACGTGACGCAGACGCGCCGCCAGGGGGCGCGCCGTCACTGAGCTCTCTCTCTCTCTCTCTCTCCTCTCCTCGGCTTTTTTTTTTCTCTCTCTGTCTGTCTCTCTCTCTCTCGGCGTCTACCAAGTGGGGATGCCGGAGTCCAACCGCAGCTCTCGTCTCATTCATGCTGAGCGCTGCTCTCCTGCGCGCGGATCCGCAGAGCTGAGTGTGTGACAAGCCGAGCGGCCATGGAAACGTCTCGTGCTGCAACTCTGACATCCCAAACTAATGCACGCCGAGTTGGACCAACGCAAACGGATTAATCAGTAAGTACCACCAAACTTTTTCTTTGTCCTTTTTTTTTCTTTTGATGGATAGCCCTTTCTCACACAAAAAAAAAAAAAAACCCAAAAAAAGGTTGGAGACTTTCCTCTCCTCCGAGCTTTTCCTCTTTTCTTTCCGCCGGAGCTTCTCTCCGGTCCTCACCTGGGAGATAAACCGCTCACGGAGCGGTCTCGCACTGCGGGAGAAATGTCCGTTTTTGTTTGTGCCACTTGGATCACCTGTGCCACGGCTGCACGCGCGCGCGGGGGGGAGCAGCCGAAACGCACGACGAGGGTCGCGGATCCCCAACAGGAACTGAACGTCACCTGGTTTTAATCGCTTCTTATTTTTTTGGTGGGGATTTCTGAGATGTTGAAGGTGAAATAATGTTTCATTTTAAGAACTATGTTTTTTTTATTAGACTATTTAGAATCGTGGAGCAGAAGTGTTTTCAAATAGTTTGTGGGATTTTTAACTTGTATGATTATTAACATGAAGGAATTAGATTCAGTATATTCCAAAACATTAAACACAAAAACATAAAATCAACTTGGAAACATAAGTTACCTGTCTGCATAAGAGCACATCTGATTWTTTTATTTTATTTTTTTGTGCAGCATGACTTGTTTCCAACTTTATTCATCCATAGGTGCATCTTTCATGTGTTTGGTTTTACATTCTTGTGGGCGTTCTTTCATATCTCTCTTATTTCTTGTCATAAAATGTGTGCGTGCTGCCCTTTTTACCCACCCACTTCAAATCATCTGGGAGTCACATCAACATGCACTGACAGTTTCATGTCACCTTATGAATTTTTGACTCRTGAAGCGTGGGCTGATTTCAAGAGACTACGGGCAGCAAGCCACCGGTCGGGCTGCCAAACACACAGGAAAAACAAAAAGAAGAAGAAGAAAAATCTCTTTAGTTGTGCAGGAGAAAAAGCAGCACCTTCTCTTTCGTATTCCGAACATCTCCTGCTCTCCTTTCCCGCTTTCATCCCCTCTCAGGGTTTGAGCTTGTGAGGATGACTGAGATGATGTGGAAGTGATGGAGGAGATGCAAGGACATGTGAGGAATAAGGGACTTATCCCCTCCTCCTCCTCCTCCTCCTCCTCCTCCTCCTCCTTCTCCGTTCTTTCTCTCTTAAGTGCATGTGTCATGATACGCCTGCACTGGGACTCGTCGATAAGGCTGAAACCTTGAGCATCACCTCCACTTTAGGGGCTTCGGCATGACATCCAAAGTGACTGCACACATGGTTACGCTGACATGATGACTAGGGAACGTGTTCGTTCGTGTTAGACCTGCGAGCAACAACGACTTTCGTGGAGCTTTTCAGCCCCGAATGAGTCACGGAGTCGGACTCGGGGCAACAGGGATGTGCTGTTTGTGCTTTGAGCCCCCTTTTAACCTAATTACCTAGTTTATTCTTGGAGTCTTTTATTATTCATTTGTTCTTAGACGATGGAATCTCTTCTTCCTGCGTGATCAATCTCTTTTTATGTCCTGTAGACAGTGTGGAGATGCTGCGTCCAGCGTTCTGTCAATGGGACTTTGTGTCTTCCCGCACAGATTTAAAGTGTTGCGCATTTTATTGGGTTTGTTAAATTTCTAATTAGGCGCACTGCACTGATTTTATGTAATTTTTTTGTCGAACATATGGCGCCTTTTAGATTGGACTGACTTTACAGTTGAGCTTGTTTGGAGATTCCTTGATCGGGAGTGTTTTTCTACAGAGCGGAGGCGGTGCTGTGGTTAAAACTGTCGCCTCTCAGCAGGAAGRCTGCAGGATTGCCTCCCGGCTCGAACCGTAGCTGCGCGTGTGGGTTTTCACCGGGCGCTCTGGTTTCCTGTCGCAGACCAAAACGTCAGGTTAATGGGTAACTAAATTGTCTCGAGCTGTGGGTGAGAGTGAGAATGGTGGTTTGTCTCTACGAGGCCCTGGGATAGACTTGTGACCTGTCCAGAGTTTGCCGCCTCTCACACAGGGACGCTGGAAAAAGACACCAGATCTTTGCGACTTGGACAGGAAACGCTGGTAAAGACGATGGAGGGATGGAGTGAACTCCATAGAATCACCTCCCATGTCAATAGCAGTAATTTTTTTTTTGATGAAAGCATCCTCAGCCACAGTGTGTGTGTGTGGTTGGGGTCATGTGGGGGTGGTGCTGGAGCTGCTTCAGTGGCTCAGACCCCGACTGAGATGAGAACCACAGAGGATCGACAAAGCTCCCCGCCCTGAGGTGYTTCAGACCTCGAGTAGCTGGAACAAATGAGGCTGCAGGTCCAAAACGCARCATATTGATACATCAGTTTATGCTTATTTTTTATGGGGAACACTCCAAAAAAAAAAAAAATAAATAAAAGAATGTGCTGTAATAAAATGCCCACAGGTTGTAATGAAAAACAACAAAAGGCAAATAGTTTTTCTTCATAATGCTTTCAGACGTCTCACATTTAACCTGCTTRAGCCCAGTGGGAACTGAAGTGCCGACCCAGCAGTCCTCTTTTCCTCTTGAATCACTGATAACTAGACTTTAAAGGAAATGGATATTTTTGCAAGAAAATACTAGTTTGAAGCCCCTCTAACAATGAGGGAGTTCAGTTAGCTTCTAGATATTTCTAGTCTTTATTAGGGCTGTGTATTGGCAAGAATTTGGCGATACGATACATATCATGACAGAGGGGTCACGATACGATATATCCCGATATATTGTGATACTGTAAACAAGGCGATATATTGCGATTTTTTTTGTCCAAAAATTCTATTAAATAAAAACCTCTTACAGGGGAAAAAAATGAGAAGCCAAAATTCATTGTCTCAGAAAATTCTAATATAACATAAACATGCTTTTGATACATTTAGCTGTGTTCTGCTTTGTATTTTATTTTATTTGTTTCATATTTCTTATTTCATCCATGATTTCAATTATCAGACTAAATTTGACAATGGTTTGCAAATATACTGTATATTTTGCAGCTTTTAGTTTTTAATATTAATTTACAATATGGTCACCCAACACTTAACAATAGCCTCTACCTCAAGAGGTAGAGTAGCCAAATGTCTGGCTCACTGCTGCCAACTAGTGGTCAGAGGCTGAATTACAACATAAAAATGAACGGCTGGCAGGAAAGTTGACATTTTAAACCTTAATAAAAAAATCGATACAGGGCTTTAGAATATCGATACAGTATCAGGAAATGAAATATCGTGATATTTCAGTGTATCGATATTTTCTTACACCCCTAGTCTTCACATATTTAATGATGTTTATTGGAATTACAGCAACCGTCAACGATAGACCATAAATCAAAAATATAAAATAAAAACMTATCTTACTGTTATAAGCTGTAAGATGAGAAACTACACCGTTTTTTCCCCACAATGGTTTATTTTAAGATTTTGTGCCATTTTCATTCCAAAAAAATTGTCCTTTTAGATTTTTTAGGGGTGTCCCAATTTGATATCAATATCAGATATCGGTCGGATATTAGCCAAAAAGTGAATAATTGGATTATATCAACCTGCATCTAAAATCTCAGATACAAACCCTCCTTTTTATTTATCTTTTTTAATTTTAAAATATTCTTAGGTTTAAGTTAAAAATGTATGTAACCCATTCGTTAATAATAAATGGGTCAGTTTTGTCATAACTACTGTTTTTGACATTTGTTCAGTGTTTGACTTGATCAATGTTTTTTTTTTTTGAGTTTCCACACTATAAAATTAATAAAAGTAAGTGTGAATCGTTTTGATTGTATCAGCTCAATATTACTATCGGCCAATTCAAATTTGCAATATAGAAAAAGTTGTATCGGGACACCACAAYGATTTCTGTACAGAGCATTTACAAGTTCTTCATTAACATAGACACTTTACAAACCAGTGTCGATTTGTTCAGACACTTTTGCAGCTTTAAAAGTTTTAAAGTACCTGTTTTATAAAAATAATTATTTTAAACATTTACGTTTTCCAGTGACATTAACATCCCCTTCAACAGATAATTATTTATTTTATACTTCGTAATGCAGCGATTTACAAATTCATTTAAGCAATCATTGCATAGAATAATACTATTTTTTTTATTCTGTTCATGATGTCCTTTGTACATTCAGTAAGTGACACAGTGTTTGCAATATGCACAGACTGGAGACTGAAAATGAGGGAAAGGCTTCAAAATAAAATGAGGGCAAGATGGTGAGAAGTGACAAAGCTTTAAAGTCGCTGGCATCTTTTTGATGCAATGAAAGGCCACTGCACATCAATCGGAGGAGGTTGGTTGAAACAGGAAAAGATGCTCCGATAGCACACAGGTGACTGCAGTCAGAGGTGTCGGCTATTTTTAACACTCAGACACCTTGTTAGTTGTCAAAGGACCTGCAAAAAAAGAGTTTGTATGACATTAGCGCCTGCGTGTGGAGTTTTTATGTCAGAGAACATGTGGGTGGGTAATTTCTTGCCCTAATGTGAGCAAGGATATTTCTGCCATTTTGTCAGCAATTAAAAGAATCTCAGCAGCCCGTTTTTTCTCTCTGCTTCTGTAGAGCATGCAGCTTGTGTTTGTTGTCCCAAATGGCCAATTTCTGCCTTATGTTCGGAGCTGTCTAAGCAGTTTAGGCAGCAAAATAATCAGTTTGTGCGCTGTATGCATCTTTGTGTTTCTGTGTGTGTGTGTGCGCGCGTATGATCTACATCTCAATATTTAAAAAAATATATATATAAATGAATAAATCACTGAACCTCTGCTATACTTTGCAGCACAAGTCCATTCAGCATATCCCCCCTCAAACTCACACATCTTCCCTTTACCTTTCTCTCCTTATGGTATTTAGAAGTGGGCCAAGGTCAAAGGCAGGATGTTTCGTTCTTTTTATGCATGGTTTTCAGATGTAAATCGGTCTTTTCTTACCTGTACTGCTGGTTAGATTTTCCATAGGACATGTGGGAGGAAGTAAGTAAGTGGAGGGAAATGCTAAAAAACGGAGTGAAAGATGTCATAAG